CCTCCCTGTAGGCCTAGAGTACAGATTGGGTGTCCCGGGTCCAGCAGGACCTTGACCCACAGGAGGCACCCCATCTATCCCTCTGCTTCTCTGGGGACAGCAGTGGGTGGACAGACACGGTGGTCACCTGCTGACTCCAGCAGGTCCTCTCACCTCCGTGACCTCTCAGCCCCTCTGTCTCCTCCGATTCTGCCCTCTTCCCTTCCCTTCTTTGGCAGCCTCAGTGCTTTTACCAAATCTCAAATCTTACTTCAAAGCCCCGTCGGGAACCCTCCAAGGGCTTCCTGTGCCCACACTCTCCGCAGGGATTTCCGAGGACTCTGATGCTCCTGCTCCCCCGATGTTCTCTCCCAAAAACACATCTCGCTTTCACATTCTCCCCCTACCCCGCCCCACCCCACCACACGTGCCCATCTTCCTGCCCCTCAGCGCACGCAGGACTCCCTTTCCCGAAGGACACGCCTGTGCACATTTTGTCCCTCTGCCTGGACAGCCCCAGACCGGACTCCCACAGGCCTGTCTTTTATTTGAACGACTCCAGTCTTCAGGGTCAGCTTCGAAGTCACTTCCAATGTGCTGTCACCCTCTTCTGTGCTGCTCTTCATGGAACGGTGTCCGTGTGTTTGTGTTAGTCACTCAGTTGCTAAGTCACGTCTGACTCTGCTACCCCACAGGCTGTAGCCCACCAGGCTCCTCTGTCCATGGGATTCTCCAGGCAAGAATACTGGAGTGGGTTGCCATGCCCTTCTCCAGGGAATCTTCCCAACCCAGGGATTGAACCCTCGTCTCCTGCATTGTAGGCTGATTCTTTACTGTTGCGCCACCAGGAAAGCCCGAGGTGTCTGTAGTCCTGTTTTAACTTATTGTCTCAGCTAAAAATATCTGCTTACTTGTCCTTCTGCAGAGCAAGCTCCCAGCCTCCGGGGGAAGCATCTGGTCTTGTTCACCAGGGCCTCCTTGGCCCAGAGAACAGCCCAGAATAGGTGCTTAGTGAATCTATGTTTTAAGCTTTTGTGTGAAATAATGATGTGCTTAAAGAGAAGTTGTAGAATGTCAAGTTCCCATACATGTTTCACCCAGCTTCGCCTCATGGAAAATCTTATAAAATCATGGTAAAATGATTGAAAGGATATTATCATTTGATCCAATATGCTTAACTAATCTACAGACCTTATTTGAATTTCACCTTTTTGTTTTGTTTTTTAGCTGCAATATTGTGATTTATAATGTGAAATATGTACTTGGTCTTGGTCCCCATTGCTAGCTCAGAGCTCCTAAAGCTCTCAAGGAATTTTCTATTATGAAAGCAGTCAAGGTGTCTTTTGTTATGTTAATAAGGTGACATTTGGAAAGCCCCAGGTCACCTCTGACCTCTGGATGGGGGTTGGTTGGGGTGGGGGACAACAAACCCTGTGATTAGAGGTTTGTCACTTTCAGCCCTCCCCCCAACCCTAACTCCAGGCAAGGGAGGGGAGTTAGAGATTGAATTTAATCACCAGATGTCAGTGGACTGACTGAGCATGCATGCAGGGCCAGTGGGCTGATCCATCACAACTATGTAACGAAGCCTCCAGAAAACCCAAAAGGATGGGGTTATGAGAGATCCGGGGAGAGTGGGCACTCAGAGGGACTGCTCCCCCTCCCCACATCCTGCAATGTCTCTCTTTGTGCTGCTCCTGAGTCATTTCCTTCTTTAGTAATCTGGTAAACATAAGTGCGTGCGTGCTCAGTTGTGTCCAAGTCTTTGCAACCCCATGGACTGTAGCCTGCCAGGCTCTCTTAGTCCATGGAATCCCTTTCCTTATGTTGGCTTCCCAGGTGGCCCAGTGGTAAAGAATCTGCCTGCCAATGCAGGAGATACAGATTCAATCCCTGGGTGGGGAAGACCCTCTGGAGAAGGAAGCAGCTACCCACTCTAGTATTCTTGCCTGGGGAATCCCATGAACAGAGGAGCCTGGTGGGCTACAGTCCATGGGGTCACAAAGAGTTGGACACAACTGAGCAACTGAGCACACACACACACAAACAGGCACAAGGGCGTTCAGTTCAGTTCAGTTGCTCAGTCATGTCCAACTCTTTGTGACCCCATAGACTGCAGCACTCCAGGCTTTCCTATCCATCACCAACTCCCAGAGCTTGCTCAAACTCATGTCCATTGAGTTGGTGATGCCATCCAACCATCTCATCATCTGTCATCCCCTTCTCCTCCTGCCTGCAATCTTTCCCAGCATCAGGGTCTTTTCCAAGGAGTCAGCTCTTCACATCAGATGGCCACAGCTTTTGACTAGATGGGTCTTTGTCAGCAAAGCAATGTCTCTGCTTTTTAATATGCTGTCTAGGTTGGCCATAGCTTTTCTTCCAAAGAGCAAGTGTTTTTTAATTTCATGGTTGTGAGGGGGTTAGGGCTTGAGAATTTGGGAAGACACCTCAGATCATAACAGCCCAGGCCTTCACAGGGCATTAGTTGTGCAACAGGCTGTAAAAGTGGGGTATTTCTTATGGTCTTAGTTCCTTGAGATGATGGGAAAGATTAAGATTTAAGAAGGGAGCAAACAAGGTGGAGATTTCTCTAAAAAAAAAATGCTTTGTGCACATGTATCCTCCTAACTGCTGCTCAGGTCAACTGAAATAAGCTTAAAGGGAGTTCCCAGTGGCTTCGACACACACACCCCTTGGATTAGGGAAGAATGTGGAAGAAGGTCTGAAGGGACAAGGCCATCCCTGGCTTGGGGATGGGGAGGACCGTGCTGGGAGGATGAAGAGAAAGCTTGCAGCGACCTGAGTGGTACCAGAGACTGAACAAGAAGAAGAGTTTTCCAAGATCCAAATACAGATCCCAGGACAGAGCCCAGCCATGAAGTGGCTTGAAAGCCTGTCTACCCAAGGGGGCCATCCATGTAGGGGTGCTAGGAGGGTGACCTTGGCAGAAGAGGACCGAGCTGAACCTCCAGCTACGGGCTGGGAAGAGTCATGAACAGCAGCCAAGGCAGCTGACACCCACATCAGAAAGTGGCAGTGACCGAGCCCAGTGGGAGTGGCTCAGAGGAACCTAGAAAAGCCCCAGGAGAGAGAAAGGCAGCCTCGGGTCCTCAGCACAGAAGGCCCCATCACAACTGCACCTGTCACATAGGGAATGTGCACCCCACCACCGACTTGCACCCCAAAAAAGCCGATGCAACAAGAAGCCTGAGAAGGGCAGGAAGACCCGAGTAGGCAGTATTGGTAGGGCTCGGGTCTCTGCAGGCTTCCCAGCCCCCAGCCAGGCAGGGGAGGCAGAGAGAGCCATCTGATGAGAGTTTGGTAAAAGAATGGAAATGACCTGAATATTCTATGGGATCTGCAGGAAGGAAGAGGGAACTGAGAAAGAATTCAACACAAAGTGCAGAAAAGTCCCCTCCTATTTGCACTCTTCCATGTTCAGTCCTTCAGAAATAAGGTAAGGCAGTTACGTACAGTTGTGCTCACCAGTCCAGCCACGTGGGGCTCAATGCTCTGCGAGCACCACCTTCAAATTTTTAATAATTTTTACCTGGAGGCCCCAAATTTCCTGACTTCCCTGGTGGCTCAGATAGTAAAGAATCTGCCTGCAATGCAAGAGACCCAGGTTCTATCACTGGGTGGAGAAGATCCCCTGGAGCAGGAAATGGCAACCCACTTCAATATTCTTGCCTGGAGAATTCCATGGACAGATGAGCCTGGTGGGCTACAGTCCATGTGTTTGAAAAGAGCTGGACACGACTGAGTGACTAAACACTTTCACCCAAGTTTTCACTTTTCCCTGAGCCCTGCAAATCAAATAGGTGGTTTTGGTTATATAGAGAGCAGGGACTTAGATGTGTTCTATGTAACCCTATGGGATACATTAGATCTGATCCAGGGGAGGTAAAAAGACAAAACAAAACAGCTTTTAGCCCAATATTAGAAAAAGTTCTCAAAACTCGTGGCTGCCCAAAATGGAACAGGCTATATGAATAGGAAGAGCTTCTGAAACCAGCCTCCTTACAGCAGAGGAGGGTCAGCTACTTGGCAGGAATACTGGAGGCACAATTTAAGCATTGGACTCTGTACCCTCCAAAGTCCCTTCTAACCCTGGAATTATCTAATTCTTTGATTAATGAATCTCTTTCGAGGTGTCTGCTTTACCCACTTCACCAGGAAATGAACTCACTAGTGCTGAGACCAGGTAAGGGTCTTGCCAAGTCCAGCCTCTAACCCTCCGTGGTTGGGAGTTTTGCTGACTCCCTGGGTTTCTGTCCAAGTCGTGAGCTGTTGTTTTCCTTGATGAGGACATTACTGCCATTACTCACTGTATTTTTGATCATCGTTAACTTGGACGTTGTTATGGCTGGCACACTGTGACTTCCAGCTTCTAAGAAAAAGGCCTAAAAAGACTCAGAAAGTGTCTTGGGCTTAAAACCATGTTCATTAATCACCATTTTGACAACGAAGCATAAACAGACCTAACAAATACTGATTAAATGCAACTCTAGACATCTATGCTTGTGTTTTGGTTCTTGTCATCGGCCTGATTATTAGTCTTGGGGAAGAGGTTTCTCAGAGAAGGAAAGAAAGTCCAAGGCTTGCTGAGACCTTCCGCAGGTAACTGCTCAGCCTCTACCTCCACGGGGCTGGTCTCTGAGGCTTCGACCTGAAGGACCAAAGCTCCGGTACAGACACCATCGGGGACGGTCCTGGGTCAGGAACCCACAGGAAATGGGTGTGCTTGGTCATGCCCAGTAAACTCATATTGGAAAACTTTGAGCTTCTTTCATACCACATTTTGGCCATGACCTCTCTAGCATTCAGCCTCCCAACAATGGAGTCTATGTGTCTCCACACCCTCCGTGCAGGCCCCCTAATTACCACCATCCGTTAAGCTGTCAGGAAGAAACCCCTAGCTCAATCCGGTCTTTATCAGACTCCGGCTGCCAGTGGGGTCAAGACAGGCGTCAAGTCTGACCCGCCTGGAGGCCCTGTCCTGCGCTGGTCCCCACGCTCACTGGGGCCTTTGTGACGGGGCCGGGGGACAGCCACCTGGTGCCCCAGCTCAGCCCCCTCAGATGCACTGCAGACAGGGCGGAGCCACGAGGAACAAGGGGGCCGCCTCAGCGAGGGCCTCCTCTTCGGCTTCATCTTCGGGGAATTTGGCACACAGGAGTTATGCGGGATTGTCAAGGCCCTAAACTGGAAAAGGAGACTCTACTGAACAGGCAGGAATCTGGTGTCAGGGAAAAACAATTCCTCGGCTTGGACCTGCTGTCAGAGACTGTGAAGTCATAGAGGTTATCACTGCCAGGAACTTGGTGGTCATCCGACTCACCCTTTATTTTACAGGTCAGTGCAAGTGTGGCCAGGGGAGTAGGGTTTGACTTTCATTGGTGGGCCTGGTTTTCTTGAGTTCTAGGTGAGTAATATTTTAAAGTGAGCTCTATATAATAAATCCAGGCTTGTTCTTATGTGGCCCCATGTTACTCGCTGTTTGTTTCACGCAAGTGTGTTTTCTTTCAAACAAAAGATCATAGAGTCTCTCCAGAACAATTATTTCTTCTCTATTAAGACTCTGTGCTTTCAATGCAGGGGGCCCATGTTCAATTCCTGGTTGGAGAACTAAGATCCCATATGCCACACAGTGCTGGCAAAAAAGAAATACAAAACAAAACCAACCAAACAACAACAAAAATTGACCCTTAACTGATAACATGATCATTGTTATTAGTAATAATACTTGAAGCATGCAGAGCTATTAGTTTACAAAGATAAACACTGTTAACAGTTTCTTGTATATCCCTCAGTAAACCACACACATTCTTATTTATACAAGGGGAAATTCTGTCATACCTGTTGCTCTGCACACTGCTTTTTTCACTTAAAAACATTTCTGAGGGATCCCCCCACATCAGCACATGCAAGTCCACTTTATGCTTCTTCAAAGGCACTTAGGGTTGGATCTACCACAGCTTATTTCACCAGCCCTATACTGATGGATAGTTGTTTCCAGATTTGTGCTTAGAGGTGTCTATTTTTCACATTCTGCCATGCAGAGTTTTAAGTAACTAGCTTGACATCAGATTAGCCAATCATCAATAGTTTTATATCTTTATTTTAGTAGATGACAAAATTGAAGTCCAGAGAAGTGTGGTAATTTCAACTACTAGGGGCAAAACCCTAACAAGTAGGACTTTGTATTCCTGCGTCCTCTTCCACTGATCACTGCAACATGCTTAGGCCACTTCAGGGCACTGGACTTGCTAGCCTTGGCTACTTATATAGGCAGTCAAGAGCCACCGCCAACCTCATCTCCGAGGAATATCCACAATCTGACCCAACAATCTTTGTTGAAAGAACTGATTCATCAAAAGACTCTCATCATGGTTTAAATTTTACTAGCCCAAAGATCACTGGATTAAACTTCCCATTTCAGTGGATGAACCCAACTGCTTTGAATAAAGACCTAATTCAATAAAAACTTAATACTCTCATAAAATTGAGTATTCTCTGGTTCCCCAATGAACTCCAAAACATAATAGGTTTCTTCTGCAGATGATATGAGATGAGTGGTTTTCCCTGACTAACCCTTTTAAAAATACATTATTATTTAAATGTATTTAAATTTCTTTTATCCTACAAATCTACAGAGGAGCAATCACAGTGCTCCTGGAAAAGAAAGAGCTGGTGGAGGGGTTTTATCATGTGGGGTATTTTAAGACATTCATTCAAGAATTAGAAACAAAAATCATATTGAGGTTGTACATGTGTATCTCACGAATGGTCTCAGGCAGTGGCTCCTTCTGCAAACTGCCACGTGAGGAGTTTATCACAGATTGAGAAAAAGAGAGCACTTAGGGGAAGGAAATGGCAACCCACTACAGTACTCATGCCTGGAAAATCCCGTGGATGGAGAAGCCTGGTAGGCTACAGTCGATGGAGTCACAAAGAGTCGGACACGACCGAGCAACTTCACTTCACTTAAGATTAGGACTTTCTAAGTGTGAGAATCTGAAAGTTACACTGACTTTTTAGACAAGTGCTTTTTGCTTGCTTGCTATAAAGAAACAAACAGAACGTCTTTGTTAAACAGCAAAAACCAAAATTTCTGGTTGGGTTTCAACCATGAAAATAACAATAGCTGCCATGCATGAAGCCCCAGCTCTGCAGGCACTGTGATCACGGCCACACACTTGAGAAAAATCTAAGAGAGAGAGAAATATCTGGGAACTTTTGGACACCAATTTCTAAATAACTTCCCAACAATCACCAAGTGCCCACAGGCTATGTCCCAGTGTAGTCCTAGGTTTATGCAGGGTAGTTGGAAAAGAGACGAGCAAAAGTGCAGGGTGCTAATGATCGTCCATCATTCCTTCTGGATGAGCAATGGGAAAAGAGAAGGTCACCTAACATAGCATCTTGGGCCAGAAGAAGGATGCTCTCGTAAAAAGGGATCTTGGCTCAACTCTTGTGTGGTTTCTGGGTCAGAAAGATTCCCTGGAGGAGGAAATGGCAGCCCACTCCAGTATTCTCGCCTAGAGAATCCCATGGACAGAGGAGCCTGGCAGGCTACAGTCCATGGGATTGCAAAGAGTCAGACATGACTGAAGCAACTTAGCACTTGAGCACCAGAGGGGGTATTGCAGGCAAGCTGAGGCTGACCAATTTCTTGGTCTTAACCCTAATCCTGCTCTTGTGCTCCCTCCTGACCTGGATCTCTTCTTTAGAGAGTCCTCGCTCCCTGGGAAAGCTCCTTCTGTTCCGCCTTCTCTTTCAGCTGATTTTCCTAATGCAGTTTTTCTCTAATCTTTCAGGTATCATTTCTGGTCCTTTTTCATTCTCTTTCCAACTGTTGCTAAATTTCCAATTTTAGTCACTGCTTTCCTCCAAGTGAATTTTAAAAGGATATTCTCACCTATGAGTCTAAAAAGAGAATTTTAGAAGATCAGGAATTCCATTGTACTTGGTATTTGACTCAGCTATAAAGGGGGGAAAAGGATTACTGGGAACAAATACTCTATCTGTTGTTATGTGCCAATACTTCCATGCTATACCTGCTCTATGACTTTCCCCATATTACATCTGTGGACTCAGAAACAGGAACTTCTATCTTAATAAAATAACTTAATACATGCTCAATGCCCATTGAAACAATTATCCTCTAGGTCAGTAGAAATTCTCTGCTTGCTTCTGTGTTTTTTCTTTTAAGCTGAAAGATTCTACCTCTGTCTTTCCTCTTGGGGTAAATTGTTCAAATGAAAAGGTTCCACCTTTCTCTCTTAGCATTTCTTCATCTCTACCCTTTAGTATAGTTTGGAAATCTATGAGGAAAACATAATATTTTGTTTCTTTATAGGCTCATTCATCTAGTTCCTCCCAACCGAAGTTATCCTGGTAAATTAAGATCAAGAAAAGCATGAACGTTTCCCCAGATTTTTTTGCTTCTAGAGCAGGGGTCAGCAAAGTTTTTCTGCAAAGGATCAGACAGTAAATATTTTAGACTTTGCCAGCCAAATAGTCTCTGTCACAATTACTCAGCTCTGTGCCGTAATGTGTATGCCTTGGGAAATGTGTAAACAAATGAACATGGCTGGGTTCTGATAAAACCATTTATAAAAACTGGCTGTAGGTCATAGTTTACCCATCCTTTTTCCAGGTGAGGAAGGAGGATAAAAAAGGAAGAGGAGGATATTGATGGCCAACTGCATTGAACATTGAGTGCCTTTTCTGTACAAAATACTGTGCTAAGTATTCTATGAGAATTATCTCATTTAATCTCCGTAATTCTACAAGGTACATGCAGTTATTGTATCCATTTTATAATTGATGAAACTAAGCTTTAAAGAAGCTAAACAAGTTTCCCCACAGTCAGACAAACTAATAAATGGTGAAGCCAGAAGCTCAGCTCTGACACCAGTGAGCATGCTTTCTATCACTAAGTTGTGCTGTAAAACATACACATTCACCTTTGGAAGCTTTTTGACCAACTTCTCTTAAAAATTACCTCCGAACACAGGGGGTGGGAAAGCTTAGTAAACTCACAGAATTCAATTTCAATCATTTTAATTTGCTTAATCCAAGTAGACTTTGAGCTATGGAGGTGTTTATTGGAACAAACATTTATGATGCCATTACAGTAAGCCTCCAATTATAACAGTGACTTGAGGAGGAAAATAATAGAATATAGTTGTCTTATGCCAGACACACATAGGGTCTTTTGTGGGAAAGCTTTCCTTCCCTTTCTTCTCTTAGAGTCCATCTTGCTTGGAGAAAGCAAGCCCACAGCTGGCATTGCTTAAGGAAGGCGACCAAAATTTATATTCTGTTGTCTTCAACCACAATGTGTTTGCCTTTCCAACCTCCGAAGCCTAATGTTTTCACATGGATTATTTTTGTTCGTTTTATTATAGTGAAATAAGCAGTTTTTAGGGAATTTCAAGTGATCTTACAAAAAAAAATCTTTTCCCAAGATTTAAAGCCCCAAGTCTTGACAGCCTTTCCCAGAACATCGTAGCCTTGATGTTTATGACTGAATATCCAACCCCAGTGAGCATCCCAAGTTCTCTGACCCGTGTCCCCAGTTGTCTCGAGAACCCCCTCCCTCCTGACGCTTCTCCTTTCATAAAGCTGCGCTTGTGCAACCACCGGGTGTTTTGTGTTCTAGCAGTGGGTGGCTTAGTGTAGAATCACATAAGAGTGAACATCCTGACTCTCATGAAGCTAATGACTCCTAATAGTCCATACCTCCAGCAGTTCTAGTAACAGTTCTCTCTACTGTCATTCACAGAATTGCTTCTCTGCACCCCCTCTCTTTACTCCAGATGAAATGCCTTTTTAATTTCCTTCCCCTCCAAAAGCATCTGTTTAATTGTTATCATGCCTCATTTGCACTATACCCAAATGGAAAGCAGCCTAGGGTGGTGGGGCTTGGTGTTGCTTCTCCCCAAAGGTCAAACCTCACACAGCTGTTCATGAACCACCTCCAGCTCCCAGCAGCTGCCCAGCGTTTATGTTATGTTAGTGATGTTCTCTAGCTGCAGAGCCAGAGAGCTTGCTGTTCGGCCAAAAGAAACCCTCAGGGAAAAGGGAATGAATGCCTGCAGATTGCACTCAGGGTTGCTGGGCACCTCCTTTGTGCTGTGGTTCCCAGAGAGAAGCCAGTGCAGACCAGTGCAGGCTCACTAGTCAGATCCATAGCTGCGGGGATCTGACCTGGTTCCCCTGCATCTTCAATACCCAGAAAGCCACCATGGAAAATCCAAGAATATGTTAAGGACTTTCCTCTGGGATTAAGATGTATCTCTCTGATTACCAGCCACTAGGAAAACTCTGAGAACAAGGTGAAAACTTGTATACCACCAGTGCCTTGGAGAAGCATAGGATTCAATTCTGTATTATTATAGTACTGACACCTTTTTTAATGGGTGAAATTTGACAAGGATAGAAGAGAGAAAAGAGAGAGGAGGAAGAGGAGAAATGAGATGCTGCATCTATGCTGGTGAGTTCTGCTTGGTAGAATAACACATCTACCTACAAGGCTGTAGCTGGACTGCCAGGCTTCAAAGATATTTGACCCTGCCCACTCCCCATCAGCATCCTCAGTCTTCGCTAGTACCACCTTAGCCAGCTCACACACACCCTTGACCAATGGCAGAGTCCACTGCTGCCTTACATGTGCTGGGTAACACCTCAGAGACAGATGGGAATCCAGTAAACTCAGGACATGAAGCTCAGATAAGAGGTGGAGGA